CACAAGATACGCAAAGTGATGATGAAGAAAATACTAAGCGAAAGGAGCGTAAGCCTAAAGAGAGGGAACATGATCAGGAAGACAAGTTCAAAGTTTGCAAAACTAGAGTGGCAGAGAAATGGCATAAAGAAGATGGATCCTTCGAAGTGGAATTGAAGGATAAAGCTGTAGTACGAGATCGACCAACGCGCAAACCACAGCCAGTCCATGACAAATGGAGCCGGAACAGAAAGCCTCTGCCAATAGACATAGATCCCCGGTTTCCAGGTATGAATCGTACACAAATCTGTAATGCTAAGCGCAGGTATGCGGCTCGACATGGAAAGCGAGCAGACAAAGCGAAAGAGAAAAAGGCGTCATCACCCAAAAGGAAAACCTCAAGCGACCGACTACAAGAGTACTGGCAGATTGAAAAGCCTATCAAGAAGGCCAGGTGCTTTCGGTGTCAGTTCTGCAGACGGATCAACATTGATCCTGAAATAGAAGATGCCGAGGAAGAGACTCCTGAGAAAATCTTCGGGTCATTTGCTCCAGAAAAAAAAAAAAGTTTTGCGCAGCAAGATAGTGAAGATTGATAAAACTGGGTTCGAATTCAGGATGACGGATATGCGATGGTTCGAGGAAGAAAAAGAGCCCATCTGGGCAAAGTTGGAAGAAGAAAAACCAGAGTGGGCGGCGATGACTGGCAGTCCCCCACCTATGGATTTTCCGCCTATACCAGAATGAGCAATACCACACTTGAAACCATTGTATGTTAACGCTCACATTTGTGGTAAGCCGATTAACAAGGTTTTCATTGATAATGGGACCGTCTTCAACGTCATGCCTATTAAAACTCTGAGAAAATTGGGCAAAGGGATTGGTGACCTGTCTCTGGTAGATATCGAAATGACAAACTTCATGGGACAACCAACCAAACCAGAAGGGATGATGGTGGCACCCATTGAAGTCGGACCAAAGGTCATTTCAATAGTATTCTTTGTGGTAGATGCCAACACTATTTATTCGGTCTTGTTGGGGCGAGACTGGATTCACGCTTCCAAATGCGTGCCTTCTTCTCTCCATCAACAGATCATGTTTTGGGAAGAAGATCAGATATTCACCATGTATGCCAACACCAAACCGTTCGGCTCCACGGAGGTGTGGAAGAGTCGGTGCTTTATTCAGAGTACGTACCGCCGATATCACGGACAACTGTGGTAGACGATTATCCCTGGAAGGGCTATAGGCTCACTGGGCAGGGTTATGTGTTTCATTAGAAAAATTCTTCTGCTTTATGGCTCTGTCGTTAGCCAAAAAACTGTTTTATTAATTTAAGTTTAATTATGGAAGAAATAAGTAAATGTGATAAGCTGATTAGGCAGTTTTATTTAAACCAATTAATGGTTAGGTTACATAATAGGGAAGGTTCCAACAATAATGTTGGCGAGGGAGAAGGTTTTCGTTGGCCTGATCTCTTAGACAGAACCTTCCTTGTCGACTCAGGATCCTCTCATTGAGTATAATGTAGGAACCGAACAGATACCCAAGATGGTCAGGGTAAGTGGTTTGTTGTCTAAAAACCAGCATGAGCAAATGGTAGCATTAATTCGGGACCATATGGAGTGTCTGACATGGGATTACTCCGAGATGCCCGGATTGGTGCGCGATTTGATAGAACATAGGTTGCCTATTAAGAAAGGATTTAAGCCGTATAAGCAACCACCAAGAAAAGTGAGTCCAGAATTGATGCCCCAGATCAAAGAAGAAATTGAGAAACTGTTGAAGGTGGGATTCATTCGACCATGTCGGTATGCGGAATGGTTAGCCAATATTGTTCTGTAACCAAGAAAAATGGAAAGATTCGAATCTGCATTGCTTTCAGAGATCTCAATCTAGCCACTCTAAAAGATGAGTATGTGATGCCCGTAGCTGACATGTTGATCGACTCGGCAGCAGGGCACCGAATTTTAAGTTTGATGGATGGATATGCAGGGTATAATCAAATTTCATTAGCGGAAGAAGATATACCCAAAACCGCGTTTAGATGCCCAGGAGCTTTGGGAATCTACGAATGGACGGTTATGCCATTCGGTTTAAAGAATGCTGGAGCAACCTACCAACGAGCAATGAATACCATCTTACATGATCTAATCGGGCAGTCAATGGAGGTATACATCAATGATGTGATCGTTAAGTCTACTGACTTTGACGCACATCTGTTTGATTTTAAAAATGCTTTTTTACAGATGAAGCAGTACAACCTGAAAATGAACCCAACGAAATGTGCCTTTGGAGTTTCGGCAGGGAATTTCCTGGGATTTTTAGTGCATGAAAAAGGGATAGAAGTCGATGCAAACAAAGCCAAAGCTGTTTTGACAATGCGGCCACCTCGGTCGGTCAAAGAAGTGCAAAGTTTGTTGGGAATGGTAAATTACCTAAGGCGTTTTATATCAAATATTGCAGGGAAGTTAAAACCTATCATAAAGTTGTTACGGAATAAGGCGGCCGATTTCTCTTGGGGTCAAGAGCAGCAAAAGGCATTAGAAGAAATCAAGCAGGCATTAACCAAACCACCTGTGTTGGTTCCCCCAAAAGGAGATCAACCTCTCCGATTGTATATTGCAAACAGTTTCGATAAGGTAAGTAGTTTGCTTGCGCAAGAATGGGAAGATGGTAAAGAAAGGGCTATTTATTATTTAATTAAAACTCTGACAGGACCAGAATTAAATTATACTATGCCCGAGAAAATGTGCTATTCTTTAGTTTTTGCGTGTACTCGGCTGGAGCATTATTTTCTGCCAAGAGAAACCGAGGTGGTTTCTAAAATGGATCTGATCAGATTAATTCTGCACACACCAACCATGCAGGGAAGATTAATGAAATGGGCCATCAAATTGGCTTCTTTCACGTTGCAGCATCGACCTATCAAAGGGGTAAAAGGGCAGGTGATAGCCGACTTGTTGGCTGAATTTGCAGGCGATGAATCATTGGAAAACAAAGTGGTGCCGTATATAGGCACCAGTCCTTGGAAAATATTTTTTGATGGTTCTCGTTCAAAAGGAAAGTCTGGAGCAGGGGTGATACTAGAAGGACCAGGAGCCAGTAAAATTAGTTTGCAGCTTCAAATGGAAGAGATGATTCATAACTCTGCGGAATACGAAGCATTGATTTTGGGTTTGGAAGCACTTATCGCTAAAGGAGTACAATCGGTCCTAATTTGTGAAGATTTTCAACTTGGCATCAATCAAGTGTTAAAACGGTACGCTTGTAATTATCCTCATTTGCGTCGATACCGAGATTTGGTATGTCATCTGTTATACAGAATTACGGAGGTAGTTTTCGAGCATGTACCAAGAACAGAGAATCAGTTGGCAGATAATTTGGCTCAGAATGCCTGCCAACAAATGATCGGGAGCATCGATTTTGGGACTGATTGGAGAACAGAAATTATGGTGTATTTGGAATCACCAAGTTTTGTCACTCCTGTGGACATTCGGTTGAAAGCCTTACGTTTCCAGCTTATTGAAGGGGTTCTGTATAAAAGAACCTTTGAAGGAGTTTTATTGAGGTGTTTGGGGCCGAAAGAATCCATTAAAGTAATGGAAGAGGTTCATGGTGGAATTTGTGGGGCGCACTGAGTAGGATTAAATATGCATGGGCTATTCATCGTATGAGATTCTATTGGCCAAAGATTTTTTACGATTGCATCAGATTTGCTAAAGGATGTCAGGAATGCCAGAGGCATGGTCCACTAAATCATCTGCCAACTGTAGAACTGCAGGCAATGGTTAAGCCATGGCCATTCAAAGCTTGGGCGTTGGACGTAATAGGGAAGATTCATCCGACGTCGTCAAAAAAACATTCTTTCATTCTGGTAGCAACTGATTATTTCACCAAATGGTTAGAGGCAGTCCGTTTAAAGAATGCGACGCAGAAAGAGGTGATTGAGTTCGTGCTTAATCATATCGTCTATCGGTTTGGGATTCCGCACACTTTTACAACCGATCAAGGGTTGATGTTTACTGGGGAAAAATTTGTTGAATTTTTGGCTGAATTTAACATCAAATTGCATCACTCTTCACCATATTATCCACAGGCAAATGGGTTGGCCAAAGCAACAAATAAGATTGCCATCGGTATCATTCGGAAAACGGTAGAAGAGAATCTAAGGAAATGGCACACATTGTTGTCTCAGGCGTTGTGGGCCCACCGAAATAGTAGAAATACTTCTACTGGCTTTTCCCTATACCAGTTAACGTTCGGGCAAGATGTTATTATGCCTGCTGAATTTGTTGTGCCTTCACCCAGGGTGATTAATACAACAGCGTGTATTGACGAGGCATATGCGCAAAGGATGTGGCAACAACTGGAGGGGGTGGACACAGATCGGTTGAATGCGCTGGATCAAGTGGTTAGACAGAGTGAGATTAGAGCAAAATATTATGGAAAAAGAGTGTCCCCAAGGTTGTTTACAAAATGAGATTTGGTCTGGAAAACAATTCTGCCTACATATAAGAAGGTGGACCAATTAGGGAAATGGTCCCCCAATTGGGAAGGTCATTTTATCATTCATAAAGTGATTGGGAATGGAGCTTTTATTATCGTAAATCAAGAAGGAAAACTGGTACATGAGAATATTAATGCTAAGTATCTGAAAATTTATTACCCTGCCTTTTCAGAACATTGTCATTGGTTCTTATTATAAAATCTAGGAACCCCTCAAAGGGTTCGAACCTATTAGAAAAGGGTTCTCTAATTATTGGAAGGATAGTTGTCTTCTGGTTTAGAGGTTTCATCCCAACTCGCAGAAACCATTTTAGGTTCTTCATCCAATAGGTCATCCAAGTCAAGGCGGTAGCGGTCCCACTAACCCTGCATTTCTTGAAGATCTTGTTCGGTGCGGACCTTCATATCTTGCAGAGATTGATTCTCTCGTTCAACAAGGATGCGCAGTCGGGAGAGCGTTGATCTTTGTTGATGGAAAATGTTGTTCCAACTGAGGTCTGGAAGGATTGCCGATACATGATGATCTATCATGTCCAGATGATGATCAAGGTCAAATATGCAAGTGAGTATATCAGTAAGGGGTTCGTAGCCAGTGGATATACGTTCCATCAGTCGGATCGTACGATATATGGTTCTCCCGCCTCTGCCGGAGAACCTAAATTTAAAGTCTAGTTGTTTTAGCACCTGTATCAGGTCTTCAGCGTGATGACCTATGGGGTGTTTTCCTACTAGGAATGGTTGCAAAGAACCTTGCCAGTTGGACGAAGGGACGCAGATGCGAGGAGAAACCATTTTGAGTGATGATGTGGGGGGTGCTGATGATATTTACAGTGAGAGGTATGAAGTTTATATAGGTGTTGTGGTGTCTAATTTGTGGTTTGTTAAATGTGCAAAAAATATGGATCTTTGTTTTGATGTCTGATTCAGTAAAAACGCAAAGAATATAGGATCTTTGTTCTGAAAATAGGATGTATAGATTAAGTCTGGAACTCTATACAAATTATATCAGGGCTACAGAAGAAAGCAGGGCCCTAAGGGCAGTTTGGAGATCGGTCCACTTTAGTTCCGACTTTGTGGCCCGCCGACGCTGGTAGGCTTCTTCGTGTCCCCGGACAAGTCGCATTCGTATGGTTGGTTCGAGTTGCTCGCAGAGATTCATCTGGGTTTGGCAATGTGCCTCCACCAAGCGACTTCATTCCTGGATGCTGTCATCCAGGGACTCCAGTTGATCTTGGAGGCGTTTGAGTTCTTCTATTTTTGAGAGATCTCAGCTGCCAGCATGTGTCGCGCTTTTCGGAGTTCTTCCAGCATAGCCTTGGCAAGATTAAAGTCTTGATTGACCTTCTTCAAGTTTGTCTCAAGACTAGTTGGATCAGTGGTCGGTTGAGATGACGTGGCCTCGGATGATGGAGGTCGGATCAAAGGCAGTTCGGCTCGAAGCTCGGTGATTCTTGCCATCATCCGATCAAGGACGGGAGGAGCTTCCGACTCTAATGAAGGCTGCACCAAAAAATCTATCGCAACCTAAACTAAAGCATCGAGGTCGGCTAGATTCAGGTCGGCGAAGGATAGGTCAGCACAGCGCTCTATTATGGATATGGCAGAAGTCGGAAGGTTCACTCGGGCCAAAACGTTCATCTCTTGGGTAGCCTAAAGCAAAAAGAAAATGTTAAGTTAGAGAGACATGGTGAAAAACTCATTACATTATAAGGATAAAGTTTACCTGATTTAAGGCAGTAGTGGCTTCAGGAGGAGACATGAGTCGGAACATCGTGGAGGCACCATGGCAAATAGTCGGGCCAGCAACCGACTCGTCTCCTGGTTAAAGACGGTGAGCGACGGCCAGCTCCATCCCCTAAACGAAGAAATTTAAGCAAGGAAGAAGGGGAGAAAGTTAGAAAATGGATTAGAAGGAACACTAACCGAACCCCTTGGGGCAAAATTGACTGAAGCCTCGCCCGGCTTCGAGGAGGAAATCTCATCTATGTCGTGAGGCGGTGGGATCAGTTGGTCTAGTTGAGGAGCAATAGGAGGAACCTCACCAACAGGCTGAGCGACTGGTTGTAAGGGTAGCTCGGCGGCAGCTTGGTCGGGTGGTGCCACGACTGGGTCGGGTAATTCTGCGACCTAGGTTCGGACATCACCGCAATTGCATCAGGTTCCTAGTTGGAATATTATACAAGAGTTAGAGGTTTATAAAAGAATCATATGGAAAGATCCTGGCAGTTACCTGTGATGGTTCCGCAATCTAGTCGGGGAAGGCGACGGGTTGGTCGGGCATCGCTGGGACCACGGCAGTCCCCTGTGGTGGTAGGAGAGCAGGTGGAGGCAAAATTGTAGGAGAAATTTGCCTCCCCGCCATTCCTCCGGCCAGTGTACCTACAGTAAAAGAGTTGAAGTTAATGGTTAAAGTAAGTATTCTCTTTTATTAGAAGCATTAGTAAATACTTACATCAGCTTGCAGGGAGGTCGGTTGTGCGATGGTCGGTTTACCAGCGGTTGGGAGGTTTTCTAGAAGACCGACGGGTTAAGAAGATCTTTGTTCGGCTCGAGTCATTGGTGCATCTGACGGTTGATTGGCAGTCGGTTGGTTTGTGGTCGGGACCGCGGTCGGTTGGTTTCCGGCCGGCACCATACTCGATTGGTGTGTGGTCGGGACTACGGTTGAATGAGAAGAAATCAGATTGATGGGTGATTGCGCTGCAGTCGGTTGAGACATGATCAGTTGATGCTCAGTCGGGTGAGAGATAGGTGGGGCAGTGGTTGGCGGCAATGAAGGGTCCTCTGGAATAGAAGTTGTTTAAGTTAAGAAGATTTTGCAAGAGAATTGAAATATGGAAGAAAAAAGACTTACCGAATTGTTTTCTCAGGTATTTTGGCATCCCGCTGGTATCCACTGGCAGAGATGCTAGGTACTCCTCAATGACCCGCCTATCAATTGCAGGGGCGGCCTTCTATTTTTGTTTCTTTGCTCCGGATCCGCCTACAGCAGGCGCCTGCCTTTTTCTTCTCGGAAAAGCAGCCGATCGAGGTGAACCCAGCGCCAAGACTGGGGGTGGGGCAAGTTTCCCAACCAATTGGTCAGTCGGAGGAGCAATCACAGGCCAGGTGGCCGACCACCAGGCAGGAAACGCCTCGGCCGCAGAAGGTTTCAAACAGAAAGGCAAATACAAGTTAGAGGTGATATAGTCGGTGACTTGGGAAAGGTAGGTCGGGATAAGCTCGGGAATTACCAGCCCTTCTGGGCTTTGGGATATAAGGTGATGCCGGGCTAGCGGTCCCGGTATGCCCTGGCAGCAACCGAACTGTCGGGCCAGAAATTGGGGCTGATAATTAAAAGTGTAAAATAATCTGTGGTTTTTCTTGTCGGACCTCTTACTAGAAAATAGAGATCGGGGTTTCATGGCGGAGTCCCAAGAAAAGGGATAGGTCAGATGAGGAAGAGGATCGGGATAAGTCTCGGAATAAGATGTGTCAGGGTGAAGCCAAAAGAGATTAGTCGAATATTGTATAAGGGTTTCGTAGACATAGAAGCGGGAATTGCTACGGTCTTCAGTCAAGATTTGGGTGATGACAGGGTCGGATGGATAAAGATAAGAGGAATTAGGAGTTAATCTGGCCAAGGCATAACCTATGGACCTGTAAGGGTTTGGGGCGATAGGAAGTCGGCCAAAGAAAGCAGTGGGGAAGTAAAGACGGAGCCACAATTCCAAGAACCAAAACGGTCCCGAAGCGGCTGTATCCGCCTTTTTGGTATCAGTCAGGTGGATGCTCACTCGAGCTAACCCCTTAAAAATGTTAGCCAAAAAAAGGGTTCCTTATGAGAAAAATTGGCCGCTGGCCAGTTGGATGGCTAGGTCGACCTGGGAAGAAATGACGAGTTTGGAAAGGGAGAGAATGATGTATCTGTAAAGAGAGAAAAAATTTAACCAAGACATTCACCTTTGAATTTACATAGAAGATTACGAATGAGGAGAATGTACCTGCACAACCAAAAAGGAGGAATGTTTGTATGCTTCAATTCAGACACAGGGGTACCTTCCTTACCCAGATATTTGTTGACAAAGCTGGTCCAGCCTCTTTCTTTCTCAGGGAGTTTGGCAAGGGCCCAACCAGCGTGATTAGGCGAAGGCTCGTGACCCTCAAAGGAGACCAGAACGGGATCATCACCTACTATAGGTGAAGGGGCTGAGCGGAGAGGAAGATAGCTTTGTCAATGCCTTGCCTTTTCCATTGTTCCTCAAAATGTGGGAGCAGTCTCGCGTGCCATTTGCGATACGCATCTTTTGGATCAGTAAGGTGAGTTCTGATGTTTTCCAAGAGACGTTCAGGTTTGAATGCGACATCATTGATGATTATCGGAGAAATCTGAGAGATGACGGATCTCATACGATCAGCATTTTCATTTGTAATATAGTAAGGGCAAATGGTAGGGGTAAGGACCCTCGAAGCCACGGAAGGCACCGATGGGTCAGCCCCATCAAAAGAAAGAGCAGGGATGTATTGGTTAGCCATTTGAGAAGGAGTTGCAAAGGATGAAGAAGCAGGGTATTTTTGGAAATTGATCGCTGGAAAGGGAGAAGAATTTCAGGATTTTGAAAGCGTGAATATGGCTGGGTAAGTGAAGGGTTTTTCATAAACCCTGCGATGTGACATAACACAGTGTAATGATAGTACTGTGTTACAAACCCCTAAACGTCGCATCTCACGCAGTTCAAGAAGTGACGTTTAGGAGTTGGGCGGGAGGAGGCAATTTGTTGAGTACAAAAAACAATGGGTAGGGTTTTTAAGAATGGGCCTATCAAATTAGGTTAAGGATTGATACAGAATTTAATGGGCCTGTTAATAATAATAGGATCTTAAAAAAAAAAGGAGTCCGAAAATAAGTGCGAATGCGGTTAAGGAAAGGGCTTCCTTGGAGGTCAGAGATCGGGCATGATAAGGTAGGGCCTGGAGCTTAGGCGTGATAAGGTTGGGCATTAAGGTCGGGCGCGAAGGTCGGATGTGATAAGGTCGGGCGTTGAGATCGGACTTGATAAGGTTGGGCACTAAGGTCGGACGTGATCACGTCGGACTCGGAGGTCGGGCGTGATAAGGTCGGGCACTAAGGTCGGATGTGATCAGGTCGGGTATGGAGATCAGGCGTGATAAGGTCGGGCATTAAGAACGGATGTGATAAGGTTGGGCGTGAAAGTCGGATGTGATAAGGTCGGGGATTGAGGTTGGGCGTGATCAGGTCGGGCACAGAGGTCAGACATGATGAGTTCGGGTGCAGAGATCGGGCGTGATAAGGTCGGACGCGAAGGACAAACCTGATAAGGTCGGGCGTTATATAGGTCGGGTGAAATGAGGTCACACAAGTGGAAGACAGATAAGAGGAGACGGAGCAGCAGGTGTGCAGGTCGGGTGAAAAAGCAGTTTTCGGGCGGTTGAAGGAACTTTCAACCGATAAGCGGATACGAAAACACGACTCGGTAGTGGCAGTTGATATGGGTTTTAAATAGGTCTGTTCGGGACCTAAGAAACCATCTTCAATCGACATCAAATTCAAGAGAATTGCTTTTGGGGATCACCACTTTACTTTTTCAGTCTGTAGTTTTTATTTCCCTAGTTTATCTATGTATCCTACAGTGTCTAGAGATTCTTAATCTCAGGCATTTATTTTATCAAATTCGAAGATAATTTCTATTTTTGGATTTTACTTTTTATTGTTGAAAAATTACATCAACAATAACAGACAAGTTAAGTTTGATGAAAGTATTAGAAGATATAGAAGGATCTCAAAGACCAACAAGTTTCTTTAAAGAGAAAGCATTGGAGGAAAAGAGAGACTTTGGAGTGCCGGCGATGGAGACCACCAAGATATTGCATAAATAAATAAATAATCATTTCTCAACCTCAATGTCTATTTTTAAATATATCCGCAGACGATTAATTATAACTTTTCATCATCATCTAATTAATATTTGTACATATATATATATTCACATTCAAACTCATCAACATCCATCCATCTATCAATCACCTACCTTATCGAATATAATCTACAAATTACTTCCCTGATCTTCAATACTTTGAATAATTGAAATCTTGTGATGTTTGTCCCCACTCATATTTTTGTGGCCATCTTTAATTTAAGCAACACCCAAAATGTGATATCTATATTAACTACAACAACACTATAAACATGCACTAAGTCACAATATGCATTCTCACTTTTGGAATTGAATTAGAACCATATAACTTATAAAAGGGCAATCACACCATAATTTAACCTATTGAAAACATACTAGCAACTATTATCCCTATCCGAAAATATATTGAGGTAACCACAACAAAACAATTTCAAATCTAAAGTCGGTATGGGAATAAGCCTAAGACATCAGTCTCTATGTATATCCCAAATTCATTTTAATGAAAAGGTATTTCGAAGATGCACTAGATAAAAATATTTGACACAACCTTGACTTCGCCATAAGTTTGGGTATCAATGATTTTCAATTTCTTTTTTTTTCTATATTTTTTCGCAACAAGTAATGAGGACAAAAACTAGAAGCAATAAACACCCACTCTTATTCACTACCATACTAGTAAAACATCGATCTTTATGTATATATATATATAAATATTTATAGAGCTGGGTTTAGAAAATCCTTAATTCTCCTAATCTATTGCTTCTCAAACAACCAAGAACACGATAGATTAAGAAGAAATTGAAAAACTACAAACCCACTTACATAATTGTCCTTTACAATCACAGAAATGCACTCGTAAGACAATCTTCTTTCAGGCGGATTTCCTAGCAATAAAAAAGTAAGGAATTAGTTTTGTTTGACCCAAAAACTACTAAATCACTGAAGCCCTAGCGGCTCGGTAGAAGAATCATTTTCTTACACAAATCCGCAGATTGAATGGGGCTTTGAGAACCCGAACATCTGTGCGGATTCAAATTGGGGAAATCACCAAAATCCTTACCTAAAGGCCGGCGCCGGAGTAGCTTGTCACTGATAGAAAGATGAGGCGATGTTGGTCCTCTCACGCAGCGGAAGAAGGGAATGAGATGAAAGGGAGAAAATTTATTTGCCCTAACTTTTTGTAGTGTTGGAAATGATCCATCACAATAGCGTTAAGAATAGAAAAAATTCTCCCAATCCTCTATGTTGAAAGCGTAAAAGCGCATTCTACATTTTTTTCTTTAAGTTTTGATTTAAGAGGAAAATATATATTTAATTAAAAAATATCATTTCTTATGAAAATTAATTGTAACTAATGTTATTTTGTTGAAATATTACCATATTTGTAATTGTTACGGAAAATTTTGCCTAACAATTGAAACTCAGGCGTTGACCATAAATTTTTTTTTTTGTCACGGAAAATAGTCATTTGTATCGATGTTATTGTTACGCCCCCTTATACCGTAATGATAGCCTATTTTTTGGTAGTGTAATGCGCCACTGACCAACCGTCACTTTTTTTCCGTGCAGAGTTAATGTTTCGTTCGTTGCTTTCCGCGCTCACTCATTTTCCGCACAACCACTGCTTGTTATCCGCGAATACTGATGTTTGTGCAGTCGTTGCTTGTTTTCCGCGATTACTGATGTTTGTGCAGTTGCCGCTTTGCTCACCACTATACAGAGATTTATGCTCCGATCAGATTTCCGCCGTTGGCATTGACTTTGACTTGCGCATGTTGACTTTTTTGCATTGATTGTTGACTTTCGCGCCAACGGCTGTTTTTTGCTCCTTAAGCATTATTTCTTATACTTATTAAATAAATAATAAATATCTTATAATATTAATTTAGCCAAAATTAAATACTTAAATAATACATAGATAATGCCTAAAAATATAATTTAAGGAACACATCAATTAATTTAATTTATACACCAAATAAATTATAAATTACACTTAAAAACTAATAAATTAATATTTTACACATAATATACAATAAATACAATTATTGAAATAAATTAATATAAATAACATCAAACTTTGACATAAATAAATAATTAAATAAATAAAAATAAGCTATAAATATGACAAAATTAAGAGTTATCAAGCCTGAGGAGCTTCGCCACTAGGTTGAGGAATTAATTAAGTGCGGCAATGTGAGTGAGAGTCTCAGTCCATGTGCAGTCTCAGCTCTTCTTACCACTAAGAAGGATGGTACTTGGCGTTTGTGTGTAGATAGTCGAACGATTAATAAGATTATTGTTCGTTACCGATTTCCTATTTCTCATCTTGATGACTTATTAGATCAACTCAATGGTGCAATTATTTTCAGCAAGCTTGCTCTACGGAACAGCTACCATCATATTTGCATTTGCCCGGGTGATGAATGGAAGACTGCGTTCAAAACCCGCGAGGGACTTTTTGAATGGTTGGTCATGCCATTTGGCTTGTCAAACGCCCCTAGTACTTTTATGCGGGTTATGAATCAAGCTCTACGATCCCTCATTGGTACATGCGTTGTTGTCTATTTCGATGATATCCTTGTTTACAGTCGATCAATTTATGAACACCTAGATCACTTACACTCAGTTATCCTTATCCTTCGGTGGGAGAGATTTTTCATGGCACTACAAAAATGCACCTTTTCGGTGGATCACATTTTGTTTTTGGGGTACGTCATCTTTGGGACGGGTATTAGTGTTGACACTTTCAAGATTGATGTCATTGGTCTTGGCTTGTCCTATCGACTTTTACTGATGTTCGTAACTTCCATGGACTCCCATCTTTCTACCGCAGGTTTATTTACAATTTCAGTTCTATTATGTCAAAGGGTAAACTTTTTCAGTGGACTCCGGCCGCCTATTTTGCATTCCGTTTGATAAAGGAGAAGTTGACGAAGGCCCCTATCCTTGTGTTTCCAGAATTTTCTATTTCTTTTGAATTAATTTATGATGCTTCACATGTCAGAATTGGTGCAGTGCTCAGTCAACAAAGTCGTCCCGTAGCCTTTTTCATCAAGAAAATCCATGGACCTCACTCTGGCTATAGTACTTACGATCTAGAGTTCTACGTTGTTGTGTGAGCTATCCGCCATTGGCGTCATTACCTCTATCAGCAGGACTTTATTTTATATTCTGATCATGAAGCCCTGTAGCATCTCAATACCCAAAATTCAGTGTTTGCGCGCCATGCTTCTTGGCCGGCTTTTCTTCAACAGTTCATAGTTATTCTTTGGCATAAGTGTGGAACTTTAAATCGAGTTTCCAACGCCCTCAGTCGCCGCCACCTTCTTTTTCTATGGTTACTGGGTTTGACATATTGCCTGATTCCTATGCCTCTGATCCTTTCTTTAGCTCTATTGTGACACAGCTATCATCAAGCACCCTTTCTAATTATGTCTTTCTTGATGGGTTCTTGTTTTGTGGTGTTTTCCTATGTCTTTGACAAGGTAGTCTTCGCCTACTCATTATTGCTGAAATGCATGGTGCCGGCCATGTTGGCTGGGACCGCACTATCTCTTTGTTGCGGCACCGCTTCTTTTGGCCAACATTACGCCGTGATGCTTCCCGTTTTGTTGCACGTTGTCGCATCTGCCATGTGTCCAAAGGTACTGGCACTAATGTTGGCCTCTATCGACCATTGCCAGTCCTGCCGCGTCTATGGGCCTTCATCTCCATGGGCCTTCTCGAATCCATTGTTTTCGATAGCGAGACTCTTTTTCTGATCTATTTCTGGTGGAGCCTCTAGGGCATGACTAATACTCGACTAGATATCAACAATGTTTATCACCCCCAGAATAATTGCCAGACTGAGGTTGTCAATCGCTCATTGGGCAATATCCTTCTTTGTCTTATGGGTGGGCATATCCGTTCGTGGGATTCTCATTTGAATCAAGCTAAATTTGCACATAACTCTGTTGTGAATAGAAGCACCGGCCTCCCCCTTTTTGAGGTAGTCTATGTTGTTCTTCCCTGAGGACCTCTCGATCTCATCAGTGTTCCTACGGTAGGGCCTACAAATACACATGCGGAGGATCTTATTCAAAACCTCTGTGACATCCATGCTCAAACATCACAACGGTTGCATGCCTCCAATGCTCGGTACAAGAAGGATGCCGATGCTCGCTGCCGACCTATGGATTCGAGGTAGGAGTTTGTCTGGGTTGTCCTCACCAAAGATCACATTTTTCTGCTCATAAGTATAATAAACTTTCGGCTCGTAAGATTGGCTCTGTCAAAATTTTTGGAAAGATCAACTCGAATGCCTATCGCTTGAAGCTTCCCAGCCATATACGCACCTCCGACATCTTCAATGTACAACACATCATTCCTTTCCTTGGCAATAATTCCGATGGAGATGATTCGAGGGCGAATCGCCGCCATTCCGAGAAGGATGATGGGGATAAGACCGCGATAGTGTTTACGGACAAGTATGACCGTGTTCGCACATTGGAGCCAAAGATTTAATCACATTGGGCTTATGTTTCTTGGTTTTTATTTATTATTGGACTTCTAATAATTGGGCTTAGGACATTTTCTTGATATATAAAAACCTATCAACCTATATTCTTGAAAGGAGGAAGAAATAAAACGAATAATGTGTTTTTGTCCATTGTGTTGCGATTGATAGATTATGTTTCCCTGCATCACATTTACATGCTCATTCAAAGAATAAATAAGAGAACGGTAGACATTTATTCCCCATGTATACTGGCCTATTAACTCTAACTTGTCTACACGGCTTAATAGAAACAACGGAAGGACGTAATTGGAGGTTGGAAATAAAATACTACTAAAAATTAAATATGTATAAAGTCGTACAGAATCTTGAATGTTTGATAAGATATTGCCAAGTTTAAGAGCACTTCTCATTCGCTCCACAAAAGTTTTTTTACGAACATTGGTGGTCTTCCCCTCAAAGAAACGGTTAATAAATGAAGACTTTTTTACTACTCAATCAGGAATAGACTGACTTTTACAATATAACCCCATTTCTATTGAAAATTCATTCTCAAACAATGAAATAAAAACACCATCACCAATACAAAGTTCGTTAGATTCAAAACTATAATAATCTACAGATACCTCCATGCAATCCCAACTAATGTAATCGGAAGACATTTCTAAAAATTATCCGAATGCAGTTGAGACCATTGTAGTTCGATGATCAAGTGTCATTAATGGCTCCAATTCGGGCATAATGGATGAGAAATATGCAGTGGCATATCGAGATAAGATTGTAGTGTTATGACTTTTTTTTTTGGATAGATTTTCTACAAAATTAAAAATATGTATTCCACAAATTGAGTACATTTAAAATTAAAAAACCAAAAAAAGCCAATATATTCTATTCAACAAACAAACAATCAATTAAATTTTTGATATTTTTAAACATAAAATAACCAAACCAAATAATTAAAATATAGACATATAGAACACAACAAAGAAGCCAAATAATACTACAAAATAAGAGTATTATAAGAATATTATAGTAGAGAATAAAATAAAATTTAAAACACACCTATTTTTTACGGAGAGCCATTGTGAGATAATGATCCGTGGGCTAGGGTTGAGGACAAAAGAACACAAGACGCAGATTTTGTGATTTTTTAAATGAATTTGATATATTTTTGTAACTTTGTAAACAATAAAATAGTACAAAAGTATTTTATAGTTCAAAAGTAATACTTTATAAATCTATATTTAGTGAGTTTTTGGGAAATATAAAAGGAAAATGAATTTAAAGAAAGATTTGAACATTTGGGAGATTAACGTAGAATTTACAGTTTTTTAAAAAATAGAGTAAAAATAAATTTTGGTCTCGTTCAATATCATAATTATCAATTTTGGTCCAATTCAAAAGAATTTATCAATTTTGGTCCCACTCAAATAAAATTTATCAATTCTAGTCCCTAGATGGTTGACTGGAACTGAATACGGTTGTGTTGGCTTGAACACGGCCGTGTTGGCTGTCTGGGATGCCCAGTCACCTTCTGAGTCATCCAACACGGCCGTATGCAGTCTCAATTAACCATTTTGGGACTAAAATTGATAAATTTTCATTTGAGTGAGACCAAAATTGATTTTTTCTCTAAAAAATAATACTAATAAAATACAAAATCCAAAATTAAAATCGAGAAAAAAGGGAAAAATAGCAAAAAATCCTCCTATGGTTTTTCGAATT